ATCCTAGTGTTGTTCCAGTGCCCCCAGTGGCATCCCAGTGGCGTCCCAGTGCTCCCAGTGACGTCCAAGTGTCGTTCCCGTGTCATCCCAGTGCCCTCCCAGTGCTCCCAATGTCATCCTGGTGTCATCTCAGTGTTCTCAGTGTCATCCCAGTGTCTTGCCAACGTACTCTCAGTGTCCTCCCAGTGTCTTCCCAGTGCCCTTTCAGTATCATCCCAGCGTCTTCCCAGTGCTCCAGTGTCCTCCCAGTGTTCTCCCAGTGTCCCTGTTCTTTGTCAGGAACCAGGGAGAAGCCACAAGAACTGTGTCTCCCCCCTAGTAACACTCACATCCATACCCACCCTCCTATTTCCATACATCCCAAATCCCAGGGCTCCCTCTGGATGCCTGAACAGTGTCCAAGGTTTGGGTGAACAGCTCCACCTTCCCTAACGAGCAAAGTCTCATTACATGCTGATTGCAGAGGGATTCTCCACCACCTCTGGCACAGGTGAGGAGGAGCCAGAGCCTTCCTCATCCCACACCCTGAACCACACTGGGCAACCAGTTATTACCATCACTCTTAAAGAAGAGCCCAAACCTGCTGGGCACCACCTGCCAAACCCCCTTGGTAGGCACACACACCCCAAGAGCTGGAGGAGCAGGATTTATGGAGTAGGATTTAATTCCCAAGAGGGAGCAGGGCAATGCCAGGAGCAGGATGACACCTTTCCCCCTGGTACTGCCATGGGACCTTTCCCTCCCCCAGGTACCACCATGGGACCTTTCACCCCCAGTACTGCTGCAGGACCTTTCCCACCACAGGACATTTCCCCCCTGGTACTGTCATGGGACCGTTCCCACCATGGGAACTTTCCCACCATGGGACCTTTCCCTTTGCCAGTACCACTGTGGGATCTTTATCCCCCCCGGTACTACCATGGGACCTTTTCCCCACCTCAGTACCACCTAGGGACCTTCCTCCCTGTACCACCACAGGATCTTTCCCACCACAGGACCTTTCCCACCACAGTACCACCATGGGACCTTTACCCCCTCCCTGGTACTGCCATGGAACTTTTCCCCCCATGGTACTGGTGTGGGACCTTTACCTCCCCAGTTCTACTACAGGACCTTTCCCACCATGGGACCTCTTCCCCCTCCCCAGTACAGCCAATGGACCTTTCCCCACCCTGGTACTGGCATGGGACCTTTCCCACTGTGGGACCTCTCCCCCCTGGTACCACTGTGGGACCTTTCCCCCTGCCAGTACCACCGTGTGTCCTTTGCCCCTTCCCTGGTGCTGTCACTGCTCAGATGATGCTGGCTGGAGTGAAGACTGGGGTGACACACAGAGTCTCTGCCATCTCCCAGCCACAGGACAGAGGGGTGCAGAGGCTCTCACGGTCATCTTCTGTCTGGGGAGGCTTTCCCAGGAAGAGCTGAATGGCTTTCCTGCAAGTGGGAGACACCAGAGGGGGAGCAAAGGGGAAGGAGCAGCCCCTTGTGAACAGGATGGGCTCAGGGAAGAGGATTCTCTGGGGCTCTAACATCCTGTGAAAAACTGGCTCAAGTTTGACAACATCTAAGAAAACAGCAATTTTGCCTCTAAGACCTGAATCTTCAGGTGTCTGGGACTCTGATCCGACCCTCTCCCTCAGGCAAAGAGCCCAGGTGGAGGGAAATCCAGCCTCTCCCACGGGATCCAGCCCTGCTCCCTCACCCTGCCCATCCCTTACCAGGCCATGCGGGACATGGCGTAGGTGACCTGTGGCTGGGGACACCCCCCGAGGGGGGATGAGGTGGTGATGGTGTAGGCTCCCATGTTCTCAAACACCAGCCAGTCCCCGAGGTGCAGCTCTGGCAGCTCCAGCCCATCAGCAATACGATCCTCTGCGTGTTCTGGGGGCCCTCGGAGGCTGCTGCTGAGCAAGGGGAGGTCTGGGCAGGGTCTCTGTGGGGGAAAGATGGAGCAGCCACAAGGATAATGATATCCTAGCATCACAGTGATTTATCTCATGTCTACCCACCCTGATGGTCCAACCCTGGGAGCTCATGGAATGGTTACAGCTTCCCCATGGTCTGCTCCCCCCTGGTATGGAGTTGAGGTGATGCCCTGGGACTGCTCTCCCCCTCATCCCTCACCTTGTGCAGCCGAGGCCTGGGGCAGGGGCTGTCAAACAGGAGGCAGCTGAAGGCTCCATAGATGCCATCACTGAGGTGGTACACCAGGCTCTTCTTGCTGCCAGACTCTTCCTCTGGAGGGGAGCAGGGAGAGGGCTCAGTGGGGCTCAGGCACACAGGTGGACTCATCCTGCTCTCACTTACCATCAGAGCCAGACTGCTCTGCAGGAACCTCCTCCAAGGCAGTGATGCTGACAGCAAAGGTGAAGGCAGAGGTGACGTAGTATCGCCCAGGTCTGGCAACAATCTCCACCCCACAGCCCTCTGGGAAGTACAGGTCCAAGGCAGAGTTTATCATGGCAGCAATCTGTGTGGGAAGAAGAAGTTCCCTCTTGGTTAGCTCAGAACTCTGCAGAGAACCAGGCACAGGGAGAGCCTCCAGCCTCTCTCTGAGCCTGCTGAGTGTTGGGAGCTGTGTACCTCCTCGAACCGAGCTCGGGTGTCCTCGGTGCCAGGGAATCCTCCTCCAATGTCCAGGAGGTGCATCCGGTAGCCCAGCTCTGAGCCCATGTCAAACACTAGCTGTGCTGCAGCCACAGCCTGAGCAAAGGTCTGGGGCTCCAGGCCACGGCTCCCCAGGTGGAAACTGAGGGCACAGACCTCATTTCAGCAGGGTTTGACCACCCTCAGTGAGGGGGACACAGCACTTGGAGTGTCACTCACTGGGGGCAGCTCTGTGCTTCCCACACACTGTCCCAAGCCAGACCACCTAGACAGCCCCACAGAGCCCCACAAACCCTCTCTGAGGGCTGAACCTGCCCCAGATTGGTCCCCACAGGGTGAATCTCTGCAAAACCCTGCCTTCACCTCACTCCCACCCAGAGCAGCTCCATAGACCCCTGCGTTGTTCCAACAGGGCAGAGCTCCCCATATTCCAATCCACAGGGGCTGAGCACCCCTATGGAAAAAGGATGACATGCTGTACCTGATGCCAACAACCTCCACATCTTGCTCCTTGGCTGTCTCTAGCAGGAGTCGGCAGGACTTGAGTGTAGTCCCAAACATCATGCTTGGGTGGGCAGAAGGGCTGGAGTCAGCAGCAATCCCCAACAACATCCTGCACAGCAAAGTCACGCAGTGTTGAGGGCTCTTAAATCATAGGATCATGGGATCATTAAGGCTGGAAAAAACTTCTAAGGTCATTGAGTCCAACTATTAATCCAGCACTGCCAAGCTCACCCCTAAACCATGTAGCTAAGCACCATATCTACATGTTTTTTTAACATTTCCAGGGATAGTGATCCCACCACTTCCCTGGGAAGCCTGTTCCTATGCCTGACCACCCTTTCAGTGAATAATCTAAACCTCCCTTGGCACAACTTGAGGCCATTTACTGCTTGTTTCCTGGGAGAAGAAACCAACCCTGATGTGTCTACAACCTCCTCTTCAGTCCCTCTAGCACCCCACAGTCTCCTCCTGAGCTCCTGCTCCAGCTCCCATTCTGATGGTGCTGCCAGACACCCACCTGGCACGAGGGTGAGTCCTGGCCACCTTGCTCAGCTCCACCTCGTTGTCAAAGGTCATCAGCTGCACACCGTGGCTGGCTGCATACCTGATGTGGGCAACCTGCTTGCAGGGGCTGCTGTAGAAGATCCTGTCAGCTGGGACTCCAATGCCTTGAACCCGTGTGATCTCTGCCTGCAGGGAAATGGCACACATGTAGGCAGCTCCCTGGGACCAGCACTGGCCATCCCACGCCACCACCAGCCCTGGGTCTCAGCCAACTTTCAGCACAGCAGAGGGAAAAATGCCATCATTGCAGCCTGAGATTTTCCAGGGTAAAGCTACAGGAGCTCAAAGGGATCAGAGTGGACTTTGTCATGGCAAGGACAGGTTGTGGTAAGGTGTTTACAAGCAGCATGAGACCAGGAGAGAAAACAAGTGGGTTTAGCAGGGGTAGGTTGGTGTGTGTCCCCTGGTCTGAGCTGTGACTTTCTCCTCCTGGGAACACATCCTGTTTAATTACATAAAAGTAAGTGGCTTAACTTTGGTTCCTGCCTGGAAATGTGGCTATTGCAAAGGACAAGCAGGAGGGAGCAAAAAGCTTTAGGCTCAGCCTCAAAGGCACCAAGAGTTGGACAGCTGTGGCAGTGACACCCCACAGGGATGTGCTATGCCACCAGCCAAGCCTGCCAGCCAGGACACCCACTCCAAAGATGGGAATGTTGGTCAAAGGCAACAAGGCAGAGTGGACAGGGATTTCTGGGCTGTGTCAGGAGGGTTTTGACAGCAGAGGGAGACTCGTGACCTCCTAAATGTCATCTAGTGAGAGGAAACTGAGGAAAGGAGGGTGAGCTCTGCCACTCTGCCACAAATCCCTGAAGGATGCTCACCTGGAGCTGCTCTCCCACATCCCTACCTTGTTGGCACAGGCAAAACCTGCCCCCAGCTCTGCCAGCAGCCGAATCACTCCCTCACTGCTGTTGCATTTGACTGGGAAATAGGGTTTCACCCGAGGCAAGGCCTTCAGGAAACGCAGGTGTTTCTTCACGATGTCCCCGAGGTCTGCCACGAAGAAGGCTTGCTGCTCATTCTAGGAGAAAGCTGGAGTGAGCAGCAGCCCCAGGAGTGCCTCTGCCAAGTGCAGCAGCAGAGCACCAAGCCCTTACCTCCTGGCACAGCTCCCCCAGGAGGTTCTCCAGCAGGTCTCTGGTGGTGAAACCCTCCTCCACCATAATGAAATTGGATTCGTTCAAGTACCCGTTCATGGTCAGGGTGTGATGATGCTTGTTTGAAGCTTCCTTGGGTAGGGTTTAGATACTAAGGATGAGACACACTGGAAAAATAAGGAATATTAAGGACAGGGTCCAGAAGCTCCATCAGTGTACACCACCCACCCTGCACCTTGAGGTGCTCACTGTCCCTCCCACAGCATCGCTGCCTTGGGTAGAGCTCAGCACTGCTCTCCTCCAGCTCCTCAGCACAGCCCTGCTGTGGGCTAAAGCATCTTCTCTGGGGGAGGAGACACATTTCTCTGCAGTTGAGCTCTGTTTTGGCACACAGCAGCTCTGCCTCCAGCAGCAGCAGCTCCTCAGGCACCAACGCAGTCAACAACAAAGCCAACTGCACCGCAAAGAGGTTGGACAGTGTTTACGTGCCAGGACGAGTCCCTTCATGCTCTGGCATGTAGTATGATCTGCTGTGAGGCATGGGGTGAGGATCCCTGACGGTTTCCAAGTAGCTGAAGTCTCACAGAGCCACTTTGAGCCCCATGAAAAGGGAGGCACAGCACAGGCCACTCGTTCTGACCTGAGGATGGTCTGGGTCTGTGCTGTGGGTCGGTTTCAGGGCTCTCCCACGGCACAGAGTGTGGAACAAGGGCAACAGTTAAGCTGTACACAGTTTTCTGGTTTGTCCTAGCAGAGCTTTAGCTGTAAGAGCACACACTTAGCTATAACAATCTCCTGCCCTGGATTCAGCCTGTCCCATAACACAGAGAGCTGGTGACCTACCAAGGAACATTTCCACTCCAATAATCCAGGTCTAGCTCCAGGGCTCTTACAGGAACATGGTGTCTCTGGTCTGAAGTCAGCAGGAGACAGAGGTTTCATTTCTCAGAGCTGCACACCACCTCCCCCTCTACAGAGACCTACTTACAACATTTTGGAGGGGCACTGAGAGAAACACCACACTGACCCCAGAGCAGCAAGATGTTGTAATGCATTGAGCAAGCACCACCAACAAATTCCAGACATGGGGAATGGGAGAAAAAAACATGTTTTGAAGCTCTTAGAGCTTCATATTTGGAAAGGGAGAGCAGCTCCTCTAGCTTTACCCTTCACTCCCCAAAGACATCACTAAGGAGCACCCAGCCCACTCACAGAAGCAAGGAATGAGGTCATTCCGCCTGGAAAACAAGCCCCAACTTGGATATTCCCTCCTTACCACGGTCCAGTGCCTCCCTCCCAGGTGCCTAGGCATGTGTCAGCTCCCCGAGCTCCCACAGCACCCCGAGGTGTTGCTGGAGGTCCGAGGTCTCTGGGGAGAAGCAGTTGAGGGGTTAGTGAGGGAAAGGGACACAACAGCACCTCCACCCACCATTCCCAAAACTTGGCAATGCGGACATCCCTCACCATCCCCTTCCTCACTGTGCCAGGCAGGACAGAGCCCCCACAGTCCCCCCCCAAGCCTCCTTACCTCACAAAGCATTTAAACAGATTCTGCCATGGGTCTCCCAAGAGAAAGTGGTGGCTCCTCGTGCTGCCCCAGCTGTCTGCCTGCCCCGAGCCCCTGCAGAGGATGGGGG